CTATGACAGGATCCGACACTCTCTTCTGACATGTCAGCTAAAAGGCCTGGTTTGCCGGGTGTTGGTGGTGCACACATTTAATCCCAGCACTCGGGAGGCAGAGGCAGGCAGATCTCTGTGAGTTCGAGGCCAGCCTGGTCTACAGAGTGAGTTCCAGGACAGCCTCCAAAACAATACAGAGAAACCCTGTCTTGAAAATACAAACAAACAAAAAAAGGCCAGGTTCACCCTGGTAGACCAAGGCCACTTGGGAGGCTGGGTTAAGAGACCACTTAACCAGTCTGGATCATTCGGTGAAAATTAAAAATTGAAATCCTAAGGCAATGTGTTCCATCTTTAGTACTGCCAAAACAAAAGGGGGGGGTGTGGGGACACCAGACCTTGAGCAGAAACCCACTTCCCCTTCGGCCTGGGAGCAGGCAGCTGTGTAATGTTTACTGAAAACAATTCAGTGCTAAAGCTCTTGATAGGGCTCAGATAAGGGCTCACTCACTGAAATACCATGACTTTCACACCCCCTATGGCTAGATGCCTCTTCCTGTCCCCCCCCGCGGTGTCTCCCCGATTCTGGGGCTGGAGATTAACCACCAGCCAGGAGGGTGAGAAGTCTGGAAAGAATGGTATGTAGATGAATGGCAGAAGTCCTTAAAAAGGGAAGCTCCTTTTTCTTGGAGAGACTTCTCCTGAGAGCTCTCTCCTAAGCGGACTGGGGTCTCCTCCTAAGCTGACTTGGGAAGCATAAAGTTTTCTTAAAGCAACCGACCGGTCTCTGTGTCATCTATCCCGACCACCTCGCTACATTCTCGGATGCAGGCCGCACAGCAGGTGCGACAGGGGGGCGGGCTACAAATAAGGATAAAGGGCACTGTGAACTGTGGCCCGCCCCCCAAAAAAAAGGCCCCACCCATATTAAAGATTCTAACCTGTGATTGGTTAATTAGATTACATAATTGTGGCTAGCTGGACTATGACAGGTTAGGAACCAAAGTACCTTGGGTTACCTTTAGTCTTAACGTGACTGTCACTTGCACGCCCTGATTGACATAACATTTTTATGACCCTCAGGTAAATCGTGTTGGAAAATACAATCAGACCTGTCGCTTCCACAACCCCGGTAATACCTGAGGCCTACAGATTTTCCTGGTTTGCTGTAACGGGCTTGGTATGTGATATTTTACAAGTGACTTACAACTTATTTTGTTCCGTTAACTATTGAGACTTTACAAAATGTTTTTGTTGTTGTTTTGCTGAAGCTGCTGCAGGCCGATGAAACACAACCACAAAACTCAATGAACCCACGTGGAGTTTACTGGGAAAGGGACCCAAGGGAGGGGTGGGTGTTGGCCAGCCGGGAACAGAGATGGAAGGGGGAAGGGAAAAGAGGAAAAGAGACACAGAGAGACAGAGAGACAGGGGGAGATAGGAGAGAAGAGGGAGACAGGAAAAGTTCTGTCTGCTCCAGGGGAACAGCAGGAAAGAGAGGAGAGCAGAAAGATGAGCAGGCAGAAAGGCCGCTAACTGGGTGGGGTCTTTCTCTTCAAGGGGTCCTTTGCACCTCCGTGGAACCCTGGGCTGACCAGGGTACTGCCTGAGTGCATTCTGCCAGGTGACAGGGGCAGGCCAGAATAATGACTGAATCCTTCTATGTTTACCATGCATGATATTTGAGGTAAGAGAAATAAATGTGTGCCCAGGTCATGGTCACTCATATTTAGTTCCAGATTGAACTCCTCCTCCTCCCTGTGAGAACCCTGGGTGTTTTTGTTGTTGTTGCTGTTTTGCATGGCACCAATATAACTATTAAAACCACCTCCCCATCTTAGTAACTGTAGGCATTTCGGGCGGATAGGGATGGGACAGGTATCCTGGCACTCCGGAATCACAGAATACTGAGTGTTACACAGCTCAGGTGGAAAGGTATCCTGGAGCTTGGGAGCCATGGACCACCACAGGTTGCAGTAAGCTTGGCAGCTTACAGCCCAGCCTCAGGGAAAGGCTTCCCCAGTGTATCCGCTCCGCTCAACAGGACAGGGTCTTCCAGCTGGGAATGTTTGCCCATCCGCTCAGGCAGGACAGGGTCTTCCAGCTGGGATTGTTTGCCCAGTGTAGCAGTTTTGCTCCTGCAGGAGAAAGTTTCCAGGACGAAATTGCTACAGTTCAGCTCTGCTCCCAGAGAGTCCACTCTGCCAGGGGAAGGTTTCCCCAACAAAACTTTTACAGCCCTGCTCCTGCTCGCTCTGCTCTGCCCAAGGTCATCTCTGCTCCGCTGCAAAAGAAGGTCTTCACCCAAAGTTCATCCAAGGGGTTTATTGGGAGGGAAAAATCCAGGAGAGTGGCTGCCCTCTGCCAGAGTGGCAGAGGACAGCCGGGAGCGGGAACAGACACAAGCTGGACACAGGGTTTATATAGGGCTTCCAGGGTGGGGATTGGTCAGATTTTAGTGCTGATTGGCTAGAGCTCCTGCCCGAGGATTGGTTACTTTTCTGCACAGGGTTAGGGTCGGATTTGGCTCTGGTTTTAGGGCCAGGGTGCATTTCTTTCACTGGCTCAGATTCCAGGGACTAAGTGTGTTCCTTTGGCACAGGTTTCAGGGTCAGGGTGCATTTCTTTGGTTCTGGTTGCAGGGCCAAAGTGTGTTTCTTTGGCTGGTCCCTTTTCCCTACAGTAACAAGGAACTTATCCACCAAAGACGCCAGTTTTGACGATCAAACCACAGAATCCCAACAACCGAGAGACTTTCTGTCTCAGCCTGCACTCGGTGTGCCCGGATTCAGTTTTAGCGAGACGCCCAGCGCGTACCCCACCAAGTCACCAGGGACACTCCGTATCCGTCCTCTCCCTTCCTAGGCACCCACGCCAGGGGCGGGATCAACCATACACTCCTTCCGCCTCCGCTCCAACGAATCAGCGTACAAGACCTAGACGCGCATGCGCGCGCACCTGGGGGCCTGTGGTCCAGGCTCAGAGCACGCACGCGCACACCTTGCAAGCCTCCCGCCCTTTTTCTTGTCGCGACACCGAAGGACGCATGCGTACGCCTTTTCGGAACGCGTCATCTCTGTCGCGACGCCAAAGGGCGCATGCGCACACCTTGTCGGCGCCCACCCCCACCTCTCTCGCAGGATGCCGAGGACGCATGCGCACGCCTCGCGGGTCCTGTGCTTCCGGCCCCAGGAGGCCCCGCGTGGTTTCCATGGCTACGCCCGCGCTTCCTCCTTAAGTCCCGGGTTGAGGCGGCTGCGGCAGCAGCGCGGAGCAGGTAACGGCCTTGACGCCGACGCCCCCGCCGTCCCTCTTGCCGCATAGTCGGGTCAGCCGGCGCCGGCCTCCCGGGGAGCCGCCCGACAGGCTTCCTCCCGGGGGTCCGGCGTCGCCGGTCTCTTGGGGCCGCCCTGCTCGCCTTGCCTCGGCGGAGCTGGTAACGTAAGCCCCGGCGCCGGGGACGTGCGCTGTGCACACACCGGAGCGTGCACCCCCCGGGGGTCGCTCGCTGGGCACTGTCCGTCCCCTCCCCACCCCAGTGCGGAGAGCGCGGAACCCCGAACCTCCGCGCTGCGTTGATCGCCCCAGCTGGTTTGCTTTTCCTCTCTGACCCAGCTTCACACACACACACACACACACACACGCCGCGCTGCGTTGACCGCTCCAGCTGGTTTGCTTTTCCTCTCTGACCCAGCTTCACACACACACACACACACACACACACACACACACACACACACACACACACACACACACCCCAGTGCCTTACAGTTCATTGACTATACCTTGACAACAGTTGATTCGTCTCGGGCCGTGCGTGACACGACACTGAATCTGTGTTCTGTTTGCGCCAATCACTTGGATGCTTTCATCCATTTCCAGAGACTCCAAGCCCCCATAAATGCCAGTGAGCTCCCCCCCCCAAAAAAAGTGTGTGTATTCATGCCCCGATCTCTCCTCCAAATGTCAGACGGGGGGATCCAGCCGCAGCCTGACCACTGTCTTAACCAGGTGTCCAAGACCTCTCGGTGCCGGCCTGACAGCCCTGCAGCCTGGCTCGTAATCCACGCGGTTGCTGGAGAACCCCATTCTTGCACTTGACGCGAGGGTTTGCTGTAGCTCGAGTCTGCCAGCACACCCTCTCTCACAGTACACCCAGCACAGATTCGTAGCTATGCCCTTTCTCCCAGCCCGGACTGTCACTACCGTCCGTGCCCAGGATGCGGTGATTTGATCGTTTCCCTTGCTATGTGCCCTTTCTAAAGCTACTTGAGCATGAGGTTTTATGGCATGTGGGGAATTCATGCTTCCCGTAGCTAAAAAAAAGAACAGTATTTTAGGCCTGGTGGCGGCGGCGGTGGTGACACACACCTTTAATCCCAGCACTTGTGAGGCAGAGGCAGGCGATCTCTGTAAATCCGAGGCCCAGCCTGGTCTGGTCTCCAAGAGTGAGTGCCAGGGCCATGCAGAGAAACCCTGTCTTGAAACAAACAAACCAACAGTATTTTAGCGTGTATTTTTGAAAATTCCCAATTTTAAGGCAAGACTACCTAAGCATGGTAGGGCTGACAAAACTTGAGTCCCTAGATTCAAACTGTGGAGAGACCTTTAAAAGGGACTGTACAGAAAAAAAAAAAAAAAAAACGAAACCCAGAGCTACCTCCTAACCCTAACCTGCCATTCCACCCCGCACCCCTTCTCTCCCAGGATCCTTAACAATGGAGGTCCTCCCGTTCAGTATTCAGTGTCTGTTTCCTTCTCCCTAGACCCTGACACCAAGCATTTGTCGTGCCTACAGCTTTAACCCCTTAACCACCGGCACTCAGTCAATGGTCAGTTGACCCTGTTGCCTGACCCTGTAGTGAGGACCACAGTCCCTACTGAAGGGATGTTCCAGAGACCTAAATCCTCCATTATATAATCCTCACAGAGGTGTATCTCTTCCCTTTAAAACAGAACAGACCCCCAAAGCATGCTCATTCACCTTTGTGCTCAGCGTGATTTCCTGACACATCTCATAGTTCCTGACACATGGCGTGTTAGCACAGTGAATGAAATGAACCTCCAATACATACAAGATTGATGTTAACTGCTAGGTGTTCTAATACAATGTCATTGAAATATAACTTACCACCACTTGGTGGAAGCAGAGAGGCTGGGCTTCCAGTCCTGAAGGCAAGAATTTGCTGTGTCCTTGAATTCAAAACTAAGTAAATGCATGCGATTATTAAATTATCAAACCCACAGAGCCAGTGAATAACCATCCAAAGGTTGGAACTTGACACTTCTCACATTGCAATTCTTGAAAAGGGTGTGTGTGTCTCTGTGTCTGTCTGTCTGTCTGAGAGAAAGGAGAGAGAAAAATATGTTTCACTGATGGATTTTCTTTTTTTGAGACAGGATCTCGGTGTGCAATTCTGACTGGCCTGAAATGCACTGTGCAGACTAGGCTGGCCTCAAGTTCAGGGATCACCTGCCACAGTCCACTTTCAGAGTACTGGGTTGAAAAGTGCATTGCACTATGCCTGGATCACCTGTAGATTTTAGAGTCGGGCCTTAGAAGTCATTGAGAAATCAGCTAATTTCTTCCCTTAGCAACTTTGTTAATGTTTACAGTCCTCAAAATTCTGTGTCAAAAATTAGATACAGTATTAGAAGATACTGTTTTTGGAATGACTTTCTTTAAAATCCTAGGATCCTGACTCTCCTTGGGGAAGAGCATTTCTGGTCATTCACTATTCCAGAAGACACTCCGGCCTCTGCCTCATTTACTAAAGGGTTGCTTTGTGCATTCTTTATGAATTAAGGAAATTAGTTTTTGTTTATATGTCATCAGTTTTATTGGTTGTTTCCATTTTAGCCTGGGCTTTATTCCTTGCCAGGGTTTCTCTGTGTAATAGCCAGGAACTCATTTCCTGGCCTCAAACTCACAGAGCTCTGCCTCCTGAGTGCTGGTATTAAAGGTGTGTACCACCCTCACCCAGCCAAAATCTTGTGTTTTCATTTAAGATAGTTTTATTAACATATATATCTCAAATCTATTAAATAATTATTTTAGGGTAAGGAATGCAGTAAGAATTCACCTGGGGGCTGGAGAGTGGTTAAAAGCACTGACTACTCTTCCAGAGGTCCTGAGTTCAATTCCTGGCAAACACATGGTGGCTCACAACCATCTGTAATGAGATCTGGTGCCCTCTTCTGGCCAACAGGGACATATGCAGGCAGAACACTGTATACATAATAAATGAATAATTTTTTTAAAAAAATTTCACTTGGGATTTGCAGATAACACCCAGACCATGGTGGACTTCTCGTCATTTTGTCCACAGATACTCATTACTGCTACTGATCTAGCCTGCTAAGGAGTATGAAATGGGGATCTGAAGAAAGAACACGACAGTTACCCTGCCACAGGACAATGTGGGGAAGAGATACTGTCGTTGCAACTTAAACTGTACATATGAATCAGTAGTCACTTTAGTATACAGTATTTGGATTTTTCTCATGAGGTTCTGGATGGATCCCAAGCACTGGGGAAAGGGGGAGGGGCTATGGTCATAAATCTGATGGTCAGAAATCTTGTAAGTCATGAGACCCACTGAGAAGAACCATATGTAATAATCACCAGCCAATATCACTGCTTTTAAAATGACACCAAGACCCTACCAGTCATGGCAAGAGGCCTTTCCTTTAACATTTTGCCATTTATAAAAACACATGATTCAGTCACTTTTTGTTGAACACAAGAAAAAAAATAGCACGCAGCTAAAGCACAGGCTCTTGTGTGACTCTTGCAGACCTTACCTCCACTCAGCTGTCTGATGGCACAGCGAGGCATTTCCCAGTCAGTGCCATGTCCCTGACAGAGCACCTTGGAGAGGAGAGGACTGCTCTGGCTCACAGTCTGAGCGACGGTCATTGTTGGGGAAGGCCTGGCAGCAGGAGCATGAGGTCCTGCCCGGCCACATCATGTCCAGTCAGGAAGCAGAGAGAGTGGGTTCTGGTGCTCAACTAGCTTTCTCCTTTTTACCCACCAAAACCCTAACCTGTGCAACGGTGCCGCCCACGCCTAGGGCGGGTCTCTCCACCTCAGTGATGTAGAAGAACCCTCACCAGTCATGCCCAGCTAGGTGACTCTAGATCCTGTCACGCTGACAGTCACAAATAATTGCAGCTGGGGACTGGAGAAATGGTTAAGAGCACTGGCTGCTCTAGAAAAGGACCTGGGTTCAATTCCTAGCACCTACATGGTGGCTCACAACCATCTGTAACTCCAGTTCTAGGGGGATCAGACAACTTCTCCTCTACTCCGGAGCACCAGGCATACATGTGATGTACACAAAACACTCATACACATAATAAATTTTAAAAAGAGTAACTACAACTGCCAATAGCTGATTTCCCTTTGGGGAATAAAAGACCTCAATGTATGATGTATACAGTAATCTATAGTGCAGATGAACATAGTATCTTAGTTACTTTACTGTTGTAATGAAGACACACCATGACCAAAGTGGTTTATAAAAGAAAGCATTCAGTTTTGGGGCTTACAGTTACAGAGGACTAGAACCCATGACCACCATAGTAAGGAGAATGTTCGAAAACAGACAGGCATGGCACTGACACAGTGGCCAAGATGCCTGAGGCAGAGAGAGCTAATCTCAAAGCCCACCCTCAGTAAAGGCCACACCTCCTAGTCCTCCCCAAACAGTTCTGCCATCTGCAGACCAAGCATTCGGATACGGGCCTGAAGATGAGCCTCCTCATCCAGACCACCACAGATAGAGGATGGATGGATACTGTTCCTAGACAAATGTGTCTGTGAGATTGATGGGGGATGTCCTTCTGTGGTCTCCACTCACAGAGATTTGCCTACCTCTGTCTCCCGAGTACTGGGATTAAAGGCATGCGCCACCACCGCCTGGTTATGTTTCTCTTATTGGTCGATGAATAAAACACTGTTTGGCCAATGGAGGCAGGAAGATAGGCAGGACTAGGAAACAAAGAGAATTCTGGGAGGCAGAGAGAGGCCATGAGGAGATGACCAGGAGGATAGGACTATGTAGAAATACATAGAGTAGTAGTTATGGGTTAATAATTAAGACAAAGCTAGGCAACAGCCCTAGCTATTCAGCCAACAGTTTAATAATATAAGTCTTTGTGTGCTTACTTGGGGCTGAAGCGGCAACGGGACCTGGAAAACTCTAACAATAGTGAAATTAACATTTTTCTTTTGTAATATTTTAGGGTTTTCTGAAATAGTCTTTATTTTCAAAAGAGACTAGAACATGTCAAAGGTCCTACCTTGGAAACTTGATAAGTCCTGCGGTGAAGAGTGCTCCACATGAGGCATACGGTTCATCTCCAGACACCTTAGGGAGTGAGTCTGAAAAAGAGTAACAGGTATGCAGTAACGCCTTCTTAAACACTTCAGTACCTGCTTTCTTTAATCTGCCTTATTGCAAAATCAGGATTGAAAAAACAGAGTGTAGAATCATAGTTCATGTGTACGCCTCCATAAGATTCTTACGTCTCCCTCCATCACAGACGCACCACGCCAAGGTCTGCTGCAGTCATGAGCAGCGACCCCTTTGGTCTGGTGCAGTCCCTGAGCAGACACCATCCAGAGTCTCCATTGTAACAGTTGGCACCACTTTGGATTGTGTTCCTGGGTCACGACAGCAAGGAAACACCTGTACACCTTGCACTACAGGGACAGGACTGTGTTTCACATTAATGAAGCAGACACCATCATACTGTAAACACTGATGGTTCAAAGTGCCAAGAGAACTCAAACTAGACACTTATCCTTAGATTTGATGAATCAGTGTCCGTTCTCTGCTAACTGACTTGCTTATTGCAGCATCTTGAAGACAGTTTGCTTTTCTAACCCGGCACCTAACAGGCACTAAACAAGGACTCTCTGGATGTGCTAGTTAATGAAGTACCCCAGGGTTTGAGCCAGGACGCCATGTGCCATGTAATAGAGATTCCCATGTGGAGAGAGACAGCATTAGTGTTTGTTGGGAACTGTGGAGTGCAGCCGAGTCATGTTATTTCACAGACACTGTGGAACAGTTTGATCGGTTATTAGTCATCAGTGAATTTATAACAGACCAACGATGAAACTGGAATGCCAGCTCCAGAGAGCACCTGATGTTCTGCAGGGCACATGGCTGACCACAGTGACCTGCAAGAGTCAAAACTCGCTCCCTCTTTGGTCTGCATTGCCAGTGATGGGCCTGAACTCTGTCTGCCAGCACAGGTGGACCCAAACAGCCATATTCAGCAACAGAGGTAGAAATTTCAGTACAGTCCTAGGGCCCTAGGAATTCCAGAATACCGAAGCTCCATCCCCTTGCTGGACTATGCTCAAGTAAACTTGTCAAAAACTACGTTTGGTGGGTGCTAGAGAGATGGCTTAGTGGTTAAGAGCACTGACTGGTCTTGCAGAGCAGACAAGTTTGATTCCCAGCACCACGTCAGGTCACAGGTATCTGTAACTCCAGTTCCAGATGATCTGATGCCCACTTCTGGCCTCTGAGGGGATCAGACACACGTGTTATACATATGCTTGGTGACCTGAGTTCAATCCCCCAAACCCACGTAAAGATAGCAGAGAACTGACACTGACCTCCACGTCAGCCAGGAGTGGCAGCACAGGCAGAAGCAGGTGGATCGCATCAAGTTCAAAGCCAGCCTGGTCTGTACACAGCAAGCTCTGGACAGCCAGAGCTACATAGAGAGACCCAAGTCTCAAAACCACAAAGACCAGGCTGGTCTTGAACTCAGAGATCCACCTGCTTCTGTCTCTCCAGCACTAGGATTAAAGCACATTTCACCATGCCTGGTTGCAATCCCCTTCTTTATCCCTGGAAACGCTCAACTGCTCCCTACTTCAAGGAGGGAATATGATGATTTGTCAAAGAAATCACTTGTCTGTTTCTCCAAATCCGATGGTGTCAGATTCCAGTGATCTGCAGCAGCCAGTAGTGAACAGTAAGGGTGCTGCTTCTGTGTCCTGTTAAAGCAGCTAACAAGTGGCCACAATCAAGAACTAGACTAATTCAAATCAAAAGCATTGATTATAAGTGACTAGCATAGAAGGAAATGGAACTTGGATCTCGTCAGTTTTAAACTGCTAGGTTAATCTCTAATTGCATGAGCGAGACGGTCTCGTGAGGTGGCTTCACAGCTGTGGTGGTTTTCTCACTCGCCTGATAAGAGCCTGTAAGTCCTTCCCACAGAGCTTGGACATGCAAACCACAGCTGGCTGTGGCTCAGGTCATAAATGGATGCTTAGTTAAAACTCCTAACATTCAAGCGGGCACACACCTTTAATCCCAGCACTCGAGGCAGAGGCAGGTGAGTTCCAGGACAGCCAGGGTGGTTACACAGAGAAACCTTCTCTCAAAAAAGAAAGAAGAAGAAAAGAACACACCGTAACATTATTGTCAAGCTTTGTGTTAACTTGGAACACTCCTGGTCTCCTAGGCAGCGCCTCATCACCCTGTGCTAACCAGGCCCAGCTCAGGCTGAGCTCAGGGAGATGCAGAGCTAAGTGCAGGGAATGAGAGGCAGGGCTGCTTTCCTTGTGGCATCTCGTGGTGTCCGGTGGGATACCCACTGCCATGCCCTGTGTCAGATGGTTTCCCAATGGATGGTTTCTCACACCATCACCATCTCGAGTGCTGACTGACCCTGGGCCTCACACCAGTCAGGTGAGTGCTGTACCTCTCAGCTGTGTGAGCCGCTCCCTCACTCCCCTCCACTGTCTGTTTCCACTATTCACTAGCACTCACCTTAGTTCCTTAAACAAACAGTGACCAGAAGGGAACATCCACCATCCGATAAAGGACATAGGTTTGCTTTTTTTTTTTTAAAGATAGTTGATACAGTATCTAATGTGAGAGATTGTATCAACTCCTAAAACCCAAAACAAGATGAGGCCAACCAGTCTTGCCATCCTCAGAGGTTCCGTCCAGTGCAACCAAGCAAGGAAAAGAAATAACCCCCATACAGTGAAAGAACTCAACTTTCTTTATGCTCAAGCTACACAGTCGCCCATGGAGAAAGTGTGAGAGGCCGGGGCTGGATGATGGCCCAGTGGTCAAGAGCAGGAAGCTCTCTAAACACCCTCATGTCGGGTCACAACCATGTGCAACTCCAGTTCGTGAGATGGAATACCCTGTGCTGACCTGTGCAGGCCCTGTACTCAGGTGGCATACATACATGTGTGCTGGTAAAACACCTATATACACATGCATAAACCCAGTTAATTGCTGGTGTTTGTCTCATTGTACAGCCAGCCAGGTGTAGCTCTGTCTACTTCAGTAACATCTATCATGCATTGCACCAATACTTCCTGCCATCACTTCAAAACGCAACATGTAAAGCACTTTTCAACCCAGCATACTGGTGCTGGCTTGTGATCTCAGCGCTGGGAGACAGAGACAAGAGGATCCAGAGTTTAAGGTCATCCTCGGCTACGGAGATGAAAGCCAGCCTGTGTTACATATAAACTTGTCTCAAAAGGAAAAAACCTAGCATGATAGTTCAGTAGGTAAAAGTGCCTCCCCTGTAAACCTAGATATCGGAGTTCTATCCTAAGAGCCCATGTGAAGACGAGAGGAGAAGCAGCTCCACAACAGTATCTACTCACATGTGAGCACACAGTCACACGCGTGTACACACACACACACACACACACACACACACACACACACACACGGGACTAGACAGGAGATGACTCCTGCTCACAGTGAGCGTTGCGTACACGGAGTTTGTTATTTGACCCTCTTTACTTTTGTATGTGTTTATATTTAGAAAAATAAAACATGATAGGGCTGGGGAGATGGCTCAGACAGTAAAGCGTTTGCTATGCAAGCATGAAGACCGGAGTTCAATCCCCAGAACCCAGGTAAAGAAAGCTAAGCATGGCGGCATGCACTTGCCATGCCAATCTGGACAACTGCCTGCCTGTCAAGTTCCAGTCTCACAAAAACTAACGTGGACAGTGCCTGAGGAACAACAACCAAAGTTAAACTCACAAACACACACACACACATACACAGAGAGAGAGAGACATACGCAGACACACACACAAATTGCACTCACAAAATTTGTTTTAAAAGTAAAAAATTTCAGAAGATAAACACTCAGGCTAATTCTTTGTGTAACCATGCTGGTGTGAAAAGACTTTCATGTATCACGAATAATAAAATCCCAGAGACAGACATTAGGGTTCAAGCTGAAGATCAGAAAAGCAAAGCAGTCAACCACTGGAGAGTTCTCACCTCTACCAAGGCCGGGGTGATCCTGTCCTCAGCGTGACTGCAGACTGACTGACTCCTGTCTCCTCCAGTCTTATATTCCTGTCTAGTGCTGGTATTAAAGGCATGCACCACCACTGCCTAGCCTCTGTGGCTGACTAGTGTGACTGACTTTGTACTCTGCTCTTCAGACAAGCTTTGTCGGATCATAAATATCACCATACATTCTTTTCCTTTTGTAGACCTGAGGGCCAAACCCAGGGCCTCATGAATGCTAAGTAAGTGTTCAAGACCACTGAGCTACATACATCCCAGGTTCAGGGCCTCTTGAAAGAGTGTTCTGAATTGGGGATTTTTTTTTTTGAGGGAGGACAGGCAGACACTCTGTAGCCCAGGCTGGTCTAGAACTCACTCTTCAGCCCCTATTGGCCTTGACCTCATAGCAATCCTCCTGCCTCAGCTTCCTAGTCCGGAGATTACAGACAGTAATAAGACGACATGCCAGTCAGAGGGGGCTTCTGTAAGAAGCGGTGAGCAGTGAGGACTGCCTGGCATCGGAACCCTGCAGACGGGTGCGTGGCCACTGTTGAGGCGATTTGATTTTACACTAGCAAGAGGAGGTGAGGGACAGCGATGGGGCAGGGTTGAGAGGGCCACCACAGTGCACCAGGCCTTTCCTTCTGGGCCACCGACCAGCTACCAAATCATGACACAGAGACTTACTGGCTTAGGCATGTTTCTGGCTAGCTCTTTTAACTTAAATGGACCTGTGTATCTACCTTTTGCCTCCGTGCTAATTACCGTTCTTACCTCTGCATGTCTTACTTTCACAGCTTCTCTGCGTCTGCCTGGTTGGTGTCTGCCTGGCTTCTTGCCCCAGGTGTCCCCTCATGCTCCCCCTTCTCCTCTCTTGTTCCTCCCTTTTTGAGCCTAGATTTCTCCTCCAGTTACTGCCTAGCAGCCCCATCCATCCCTCTCCTGCCTGGCTATTAACTGTTGAGCCTTTTTAGACCAATCAGGTGCCTGAGGTGGGCAAGGTGGAAGAAATGCAACACATCTTTTCCTAAACAAAAGTAACACACAAAAGAGAGGTCAATGCAATATGGAATAAAGTGTGTTTACTCACCAGAGAAAGAAACTACACATGGTCTGGACA